CCCCCCCCCCCCCCCCCCTCCGCCCACACCCCTCACCCCATTAACCGCCCCCGCCATGGCTGAGGTACCGCCGTACACCCCCTTCCCCCCCACAGCGGTCGCGGCCCCTCCCGGACAGACCCCCCCCCGGCTCCCTCCCCCCGCTCACCGCGGGCGTTCATGGCGGCACCGGCGGCGCGCGCTCCCGGCACGGGCCCGAGGCGGAAGCGGCTCTTATAGCGCCGGCACCGGAAGCCGGAAGAGGGGCCTGGGGCCGCGGCCGGGGGCGGGGGGGGGGGGGGATGGGAGGGGGGACGGAGCGCGGTGAGGGACACGATTGGTGTGGGGGTGCTGCTCCTGCCCCTCATAGCGACCCCCGTTACCGACCCTTCACAGCGACCCCTCACACTGACCCGCACTCTGACCCCTCATAGCGGCCCCTCACACAGATCCCTCGCAGTGACCCCCCACACTGACCCTCACTCTGACCCCTCATAGCGGCCCCTCACACAGATCCCTCACAGCGACCCCCCACAGAGACCCTCACACAGATCCCTCACATCTGCCCCTCACATTGACCCCTCACACCAACCCTCACAGCCGCCTCTCATACCAACCCTTCACAGCGGCCCCTCACACTGACCCTCGCACAGATCCCTCACCCAGACCCCTCACACTGACCCTCATAGCGACCCCTCACAGCGACCCTTACACTGACCCTCACAGTGACCCCTCACACTGACCCTCACAGTGACTCCTCACACTGACCCTCACATTAACCCTTCACACTGACCCCTCACCCCCGCCCGAGGAGCAGCAGTGCCAGGGGCTGTGTGTGGCTTCAGGCAGCCACATTCCCTCAGGGCCGGTGTCACCCTGGGCAAGGGACACCCAACTGGAACATCCCCATCCCACTGTTCCCAGCTCCACCCCTGCAAAGTCATCCTGAACTCTGCTGAGTTTGGCACAGCGGCAGTGTTGACACCAGGCACTCAGGAGCATGAGGTGGCACCGACATTGTCCTCCCTGAGCCCTGGGGAACGCCAGTCGAGGACACGCTCTGGATCACGCTCCGGATCAGGCTGCGGAGTCTCCCTGATGAGTAACAGCCCTGCTCCTCCAAGAGTGTTGGCGCACTGCAGTCTCAAATTGATTTACAGCACACCGTGTTTATTTGCAGTATTAGTAATGTACCATCCAAGGCATGATGAGGCCTCCACAGCTTGCCAGGACCTTGAGAAAAGTGCCTGAGTGGCACATTTGTTGGGAGAAGGGGTGGATGGAGAGGTTTTCCTGCCGTTGCAGTGCTGGAGCAACCACACTGGAACCTCACTGTGTGCTATCAAGTGGTTGGGGCTGCCACAAGCCCTGGGGTCTGGTCTCAGCCACGGAGACAGGACGTGTAGTGGCAGTGCTGAAGTGCCAGGCAGCTTTCACCCTCACAACAGGAGCTGAGATGCCCAGAGGATCACTGGGAAGGGGTAGGAAGTTGGGTGGCCACCACCCCAGCACCCTGTGGAATGGCACTGCAGGACAGAAAGCAGCTGCCAGCTCAGCACCTCACTTCATTTGTGTGCATCAGCATCACAATCTGTGGCAATCCGGTGCAGATTCCTCTGTGGACTGAACCCACATGCTGCACGTGCATTCCTCGTTGGAATAAGCATGGAGGGGAAGAAATGGCATCATCTCAGGCAACCTCCCCTCCACAACAGTGCTCTAAGCAGCAGGTTAGAATCAACAGGTGCAAAGAACCAGTTATATTTTGGAAAAAAACCCATATAAACTTGACCCCGAAAAACTTGTTTCAGTGCTTTATCTCATCATCTCAAGCAAGGCCTTAGTTCCACTTCTAGAAATGATGTTTTCTGGGCGTGCACAGGAACCTCGTGTTCTTCACCTGCAGCAAAACGAACAGAAGCAATGAAAAATCACCTACTGGGAAAAACCTCCTCATAAGTGAGTTGAATTCACCTGGGCTGAGTTCAGCTCCAGAAAGCACCATTAACTTTTATCCCCAGTGCCTCCATACACAGCCAGGGTGCTGGGATGGCCAGGGCAAGGGCAGGAGCCTGGGGCAGGATCTGTGTGTGTCCTGCCATATTCCCAGGGACCACTCTCCAGTGGGAGAGAAGGTGTGGGTCATGCTGAGTGCTCTTTTCCAGGTTCTGGCAATTTTAAAGAAGGAAGTTCATTTGGAATAAGCACGAATCAGCAGTCAAATACTTACAGGGCTGTTTCGCTGTTTGATTTCTTGAAGCACTGAAAAGAAAGAAACAGTCTTGTTATCTTTCACATTTCCTGACCAAAGGGATATTGTTACAAATATCTTGCAAGTATGTGATGCCTTCTTTAAAATATCTAATATTTGATTTATCTACTGGTAATTCTAATGCAGGAGGAAGCATGTAGCAGTTCTCTTAGAGCGAAAAGCAACACTATGAAGTAGAATAGAAAAGGCAGAAAAAACCCCAGGGCACTGCAACAAACTATTTTTTCCCTATGAAACCAGAGCTTTCCTTACCTTACATAATTTATCTCTTCGAGCCACAACTCCAAAAAATATCGCGATTGCAACCACCACGACAGCAGTAATAACGGCCTCTTTGGGAAAAACAGCTTTTTTATCTGTCAGGAAAGAGGAGGTTGGATATGTGACAGATTAGTGCAGTCATATAACCCAGAACATTTCACAGGACTGAAGAAAGACCTACTTCTTTTCCCACAGCTGTCACTGTTGCTCTCTCTGCTGTTTGCAGACTGACTGTGTGCGTTAGTCCTCTGGAAAGAAGGGAGCTGAGCTCGTGTTTTAGCTAACTGAAGAAGAATTTAAACATCAGCTCCAGAAGAAGAAGAGTCTGTCCTCCAGGCACTGTTATGCTCAGGAATAACATGACACAGGTAACATTGCTTTTTATCTTGTGCCGGGAGTATAGAAATGAAAGGGGCCTGGATGGGGGGTGGGAAATAAATGCTTGTGGGTCACCTCACCTGGTGTCACCTGTCTGAGACCTGAGCACCCAGCCCCATTTCTGGAGCACAACTTCTCTTAAGAACCTTAAGCAGCTCTTTGGGCTTGACAGAATACTGTGGCCAGAGTAAGACACTTCCAAGTAAGAGCTGAGCTGCTTCGAACCACGCTCGAGTGTGCCCTGTCAGCGTGGGAGGTGTGACAGTGGGATGAGCCTGCCCTGGGTCACACTTGCCAAACACCTCTGAATAACAGGTAGAGCAGGACAAGCCCTTCCTGGTGCTGTGGTGCCAGGCACAGGAGCAGGAGAGCTCCTTCTGTTGCTGTGCCCTCACAAGTTAACACAGGGAATTTACCACATTCCACTTACACGTCTTAATATAAATGGATTGCTGCCATCATAAAAGAGAATGGAGAATTAATTGTAAAGCTTACTGTCTAACAGCAGCCTTGTTACCTTCAATTATCAGGTGGAAATCCTTTGTCCCCTTTCCCAAGGAAGATTCCACCACACAGGTGTAGGTCCCATTGTCAGACTTCTGTACTTTTCTGATAGAGAGCTGAAAGACCTCACTCGTCTGGTGGATCTCATAACGACCCTGCTGAAGGGTCAAGTCGTTGTTGTCCTTATACCAGGTTGTTTGGGCTTGAGGGTTGGATTTGGAGTTGCAGGTCAGAGTAACACCTTTCTCTTCTTCAATATGGAGGGTCTGTTCTCCACTCAGCTGGGGAGGAACTGTTCACAGCAATGCAGTTCAATGGGCCATTAATAATGCTGCTCGTAGAATCACAGAAATCACCATTTAGGTTGGAAAAGCCCTCTAAGATTGAGTCCAACTGTTAACTCAGCACTGCCAAGGCCACCCCTTAACCATGTCCCCAGGTGTCACATCTACAGATCTTTTAAATCCCTCCATGGATGGTGATTCCACCACTGCACTGGGCAGTTCCATTGATTGATAACCCCTTCAAGTGAAGAAATTTCCCCTAATATCCAATCTAAACCTCCCCTGGTGCAACTTGAGGCCATTTCCTCTTGTAACTTGTTACCTGGAAGAAGAGACTGACCCCACCTTGCTCCAATTTCAGGTACTTGTAGAATGGCCACCATTAAACATAAGTTCCCTTCACACATCCCTTGTACTCCTTGTTCAGTGGTCTAACACATCACAGTTGCACAGCCTTTCCTGATCCCAGGAATCAGCAGGGAAATCAGTGGCAGAGACTGTCACTCCTGTATCTCCTGTGCCCTGGCTTGTACTCCTGGGAAAGAATCTAGGTGGAGTCAGGGACATATCCAGGACCTCTTTCTTAAGGACCTGCCCACTCCCTATAAAAGAGGCCTTGGATCAGGCCATAAGCACCACTGTGGAAAGGGAGTGGCTTACAATGTGAGTTATCTCCTCCTAAACACATTTTTTCTTGGTGAAGGCAGCACACAAGGGTGTAAAACACCGCCCAGACACCGTGCTGCTCAGCCCAGGGCTCCATCCCACCCCAGCCATTCCACACAGAAATCCACCCTGGAGACTCACACTTGACATCCAGGATCACAGACACCTGCACGGACTTGTCCCGCGCCAGCCTGCACGTGAAGGTGACTCCGTTGTCAGACTCGCTGACTGGGTGTATGCAGATGTGGCTGATGTTCACTTTATTCCCATCTTTCAGACCCACTTGCCCTTCTCCCCGGTACCAGAGCAGGTTCTCAGCCTGGCTGCTGTTGTGGACGAGGCAGGAGAGGGAGACTGAACTGCCACGCGTTGTAGACAGGGGGAAGTCGGCAGCGTGGTTATTTATGGACAGCTCCAAACCTGCAGAAGGAGGAGGAACAAGGACAGTAAACTTCCTAAGCCATACCCTTCCCACAAAAGCTGCCCTGCTCACTTGTCCATGCCTCAGCCTTGGAGGAGGGACTGAGACTTTCAGTCTTCAGCATAACAGCTGTTCTCAGGTGGGGTGTTAGTTTTTGAGACAAAAAGTCTTCATCACAAAGCTCCCTTTACAGTTATTTAAAACAAAAGTCAGGCTTTTGCAGCTGACCAACAGAACACCAAGGCCTGACCTGTGACAACAAAATGTCTCAAAACCAGCAGTGACCACATAACACACAGCAAAAGATCATCCCCATCCTGCTGGTCTTGCTCACCCTCCTGCCACCAATCACTGTTGCAGTACCACTGTGCCCTCGGGTTTTCTGCTCACTGTTTGATACTCTGTTTTTCAGCTGGAGCTGGATGTCCTTGGAAGTATAAATTAGTTAATCAGCCCCTCAGCTTTATCCTGGACAGGCTGAGAGTTGTAAAAACCTCAGGACATATTAAATGAAATAAGTTCGGGAAATAACTTTTTGTAATGGGCTGAAACTCACTACTGTAGCCTGGGTCATGGATTAATGAACTATAAATATAGCTCAGAATATAAAGTCTTGTGAACATAAAGAATTCTGAAGCTGTCTCTTCCCTGGTGTTCCCAGGTGGCCAAAGCTATCACCACTTCTCACTGCTTAGAGCAGGTTTGGAAACTGTGCCCTCATCGGTCCTGTGCAGCTGCCACAATACCGTTGCAAAATGCTGAAGCTCCCTCATTCCCTTCTCTGCTACTCTCAAAATCAGAGGCTGGTTTTCAGACAGTCCTCTGGGCATGAACTCCAGAACACCCCAAAATGCTGCTGTGGCACGTCACCCAGCCCCGGGGCAGTTTCGCCTGTCAGCCTGACGGGGCTTGGACAAAGCCACCAGAGATATTTTCTGTTGCTTACCTGTGGCTACACATGCCAGGAAGGAAATGGCAAGGACGGGTGCTCCGTAGGGAATGGTGAGGCTGTGTCTCTGTGCCATCTCGGAGGGGCCCAGCTGGTGTCTGTGGAGAGAGGGTCACAGCACTGCTGCCCCTGCCGGGGCTTGCAGGGGTTAATCCCTGCTGCCATCAGACACCCTGGGGAGAGTCCTCACAGCAGGGACAGGGTCACCAGGGAACAAACTGAGCTGATTGTTGCAGGGCATTTTCCAGTTAAGAGCAGATTGAAGGGGGTTGGATATCTCTAATCTCCATTACATGAGTTTGTTGTCCCTAATCATCTGTCAGGGGAACCCATCTCTGGGCCCTGTAGCATCAGACTTACCTTGGGAAGAGTCTCTGGAGAGGCTGATTCTGCCGAGAAATGCACAGCTCCTTCCCCTCCTTATTTATAGGGTCTGAATTTCAATATTTTATGGTAGTTCGGTAAGAAGTGAACCCATAAAATGGGTTCAAGGCCTCGTTCAATTCCTGGATTTCTGAGCTCCCAGAACACTGAAGAAAAGCACTTGCTGGGCTCTGCTGGCTGTTTTATGAGACTTGCCAAGGCAATGAATAACTAACAAGAGAGTTCCTGCATCAGCCATAAAGACTTTCAGCCCAAACCAATACGTTTACCTCTCAGTTTTCTGGGTGTTCACAACACTGTTTCAAGCCATAGGAAGTTTATCCTAGTTATCCTAGAGCAGGAGCAGACTCCAATTTGCCCCTCTCTGCCCAAAGTGCTGTGGCCATGTCCTCCTTTGAGTGGAAAACAAGAAAATGCACAGATTCAGACTTTGAGCTGTGTGTTGGCAGAGGAGAGGTCAGAGGCACTGTCCTGCTCACCAGTGTGTGCCCCCAGGCTGCTCTTGTGCTTAGCTCAGCCCTGGTCCCCCCCAGCATGGAGTGAGGGGGTCTGTCCCAGCTGTCCCTGCTGCTGGGACAGCTGTGCATGGGCTGTGCATGCCCAGGGCACAACTGAAGCACTTGGCTACGTGGAAAACTGCCTGAAAATGCTGCTTACGATGGTGATGTGGTTGCAAAGCACAGGAACCTTGCAATCCCTGGAATGTGTTCTCACTGCTCTCAGTGTCCCTGCAGGCACAGGGCACAGCACTCATCAGCAATGGGCTCATCAGAGCCATAAAGTGCATTTCATGAGCAGGAGGAGCCTGGGACGTGTCCTTGGTGTTTTCTTTGTAGCACGGAGGTGGGCAGGGAGGGCTCCTGCTCCAGGGCTGCCTGTACACACAGCACAGGACCACACAGTCATTTGTGGGGCTGTTGCAAACAAGGGGCACCTCTGAGTGTTTCTTAATATATCTCTTTCTGTTTATTGGTTTACCCTTAGAACTAACAGGGAATAATTTTCAGTTAAAAAGTAAATGTGTACAAAAGTCCCTTAAAGAGACAGTTCTCAGTCTGCCTTTCAGAAAACTTAGAAAGGAGTGTCCAGCCTTTAGTGTACTTTTTACCCTCAAACTCAGTTTAAGAAATAAATTTAGCTTCTTCCAACATTTTTAGGAAGTTTTATGTCCTGTGCTTGTAGTATTCAACTAACTGTAAAATGCTGGCTTATGGTTCAGTACAAACTTCAATCCAAATGCTCTTCCTAAGCGTGAAGTGGTTTGGAATTAAGCTGAGTTGCAAAGGGATGCGAAGGAAGGGGCTGGGAAATGGCTCCTGTGCTCCTGCTGTGATGTGAGCCAAAGGCAGGAGAGTGTGGGGAGCTCTGTGATCCCTCTGGTCACTGCGTTGCAGTGGTACTCCGGGAGAAGAAGGATGTGATTAGAGTAGGTGAGGATGTAAAGGAGGAAAGCATAGAGTTTGGGGGCACATTCTGAGTCTAAAAATGAGAGCAAGGGAAAAGGTGGTCAGCTGCTCTGTGGGGGGGTTGTCACGACGTTGGGCACAGCATCAAGTAGGACCTGGGTAAAATTCTGTCCCAGCAGGTCCATGACACAGGCAGCGAGGTGAGCTCAGGTTCGTCTGGTGCAATGGCAGCGTCCTCTTTTGCAATGGGCTTTGAGATCTGCTGAAGGAAGAGGGACTAGAAAATCCAGGTGTTTCTGGCCCAAGGCACCGAAAGGCAGCTTTTTGGAACCGGTAAGAATTGCTTTCGCAATGACTTTTTACACTTTTCTTTTTATACAGGGTGTAATTAACTCGTGGGTGTCTAATTACTGAGGTCTAGAGTTTTGTGGGTTGCATTCTCCACCTTTCCATTACGTTTTGGAGGGACGTAAACCTCACGTTCCAGAATGTAAAGCAGCCACTAATGACTTGGACTGGAGGAACCTCCTCAGTGAGGCAGATACTGTAAATCTCCACAGCAGAGGATCCAACCCTCACGTTTGAGGCACTTGGATCAGGCACTGCCAAGGCTGGATTAGACAGACCATGAGCTAAAGCCAGAGTAATCCACCACACCAGCTCCTGCTTGTCATCCTTATGGCAACGCTGGACCAACAAACCCAGAATAAGACTGGTGTCAAATATGACTCTGAGCAGCCTCAAAGGGAATTAATTAATAAGCACCCAGTCTATTCCTGGGTGTAATCCAAACCTTAGAAACCTGAGAAGAGAAGATTTAGAACATGATAGAGATTGGGCAGAAATTTCTTCTCCACTGGGTAGAACCTCTTAACCTCTGATTTCAAACTTCCCAGCAGTTTCCCCCAGCACGGATCTCCTCAGTGCCTTCAGGGGCACAGCTCTTATTCCCCCGCAGTCTCACTGGCAGATGAGAGCCCAATTTATATCCAGCAGAGTTGTGAGGGCTGATGGTTGCTTTTGGAGTCAGGGGCATGGCAGGATCTGCACAGATGTGTGGAAGCCTGGGATTGTATCCATGGGTTGGTTTGTCAAACAAACAATGCCTGTAACACGGCTGTAATCCCGCTCCAGAAAACATGTTTCTGCAACAGTGCCCGAGGCTTGCTCCAAGGCTGCTCCTGTCTTCCTACTCCTTGTGGTTCCCCACTCCTAATCCTTTCTTAATACGTGGTGCTACATATTTTGCAACATTTCCATTGTTGGAGGATGACTGTAACACCCAAATCCACTGCCTCCGCTTGCCAGATATCAGGGATGGAAAGCGAGGCTGTCAGGGAACACTGCTTGAACTTACTCAGCACTCCTGTTCCCTCCCACAAAGCCTATTTTTCCCAAGATTATGGAGCAGTGATGTGCCCTGATTTCCCAGACTCCCAGCCTATACCCCACATATTTCCTACTGCTGAGAAGGACTGATCTCAAGTATTTTTTTCATGATTTTGTTAATCATTCTGTTTTCTGGTGGTCCTTATATAAAGGTCACATACTGTGCCCCTGAATGCAGAGGGATGATAAGTGAATTTTATTCTTGGGAAGGAATAAGAATAGCAAAAGAAGCATCAAACCAGTGAATATTGTGTAATTTTAAAATAAATTGCTTAGAGGGCATTAAACATTCAAATGAAAAATAGGCATTAATTAGTTAACAAACAGATCCTGGGATAAATATGGTGGAAGAGAAGCCTTCAGGAAGGTGAAGCTCCAGCACAAGTGTTGGATGTGAATGCCACCTGCTGGGTACCCACCCACGAGAGCTGGCAGGGAGCAAAGTCACCTGGGAGTGCTGGAAACTGGACGAGATCCCTGTGAACACCTTGGCACAAGCTCAGAGACAGTAAACCCCGTAGAAGGCTAAAGCCACGCTCATGGGCAGGTCTGCTCAAACCTCTGGGCTCAGAGGAGGAGGAGGAGGCATCTCTGGGATGGTAATTCCACTGGTGTTTTTCATCTGTGCTGTAGGAAGTGTCCTGTGGAGTCTGTGCTCCTTCTGATGCAATAGGGAAGCTTATCCTGGACTTTTACTGAGATATATATATATATATATATTGCTGTACTCATGTACTTCCTCCAGAAGTGTGAGTAAATTAGGCTTGGAGAACTTCAGTCATCATTTCAAACAACTGCTCCTGGATAGTTTAAACTCTCCCTTTCTGAAATGAGTGCAAGGAATAGAACCACATTCCAGGAGGGCAAGTCCAACCTTGAACTGGGAGCATCAAGGCACTTGCCAATGTTTCCCATGCTGAGAAGAAAGCACTGCAGTAGGCACAGCTTCTCTTACCTGCAGTCAGCACTGGTCCCCCTCTTTCCCACCTGCTCTGGGTCACATCCAGCATTGGTGGGTGCTGCAGTCACCAATCATGACTAAAGACAATGCATTAGTGGGGCTGCTGCTGCTGTCCTACCCTGACACATGTGGTCCCAAATAAAAGGAAATGTGAAAGGAGCTTGGCATTAAATTAGCAATATAGGTCCCCTGCAGGAGATAAAAGTGACTTGTCTGTATAAAATTCCACCTAAATGTTGCCTCTTGTAGTTTCCCACCTTGGGAGCCTTGGTTGGCAGCCTGGAGCTCTCATACCCAGCAGCACTCAGGGAAATCAATGCTGTTATTCTTTGCTTCGTGCCATCCACTCATGAAACTCCATTTTCTATCTGACTGACACAGTTTTCCAGGTGGGCTCCTACCTCAACCAGGGGTCAGGGTGTGTTGTAGCTGTGATTACCTGCCAGGTCCCCATGACTTTGTTAGTCTTATGGACAGAAAACACAGCTCTGGAACGGGTGGGCTGGGCTTCAAGGGTTTCCTCTGGGAAACAAAAATTACTAGGTAGGATACTAAACTTAGTTCCTGTTTCATGCTGGTGGCCAGTACAGGACATTCCCTAGCAGTATTCCCAGATCTGCTTCTCTTTAAGACTGTATTCCACTGTGGCTGCTGAGCAGCCTGGATGTCAGATATTTTTGTCTACCTAGGAACTTTCATCACCAGTGGGATTTCTTGGAAGTGCTCTGCTGGAAAACCAAGTGCTGATTTGATCTTGTGAAGTGCTGCCAGACAATATTAGCAGCTTTAACTTCCCTGCTGTGGCGTCACCTTTCATTCCCTCTGCGAGGAGTCTGCAAAGACTGAGCTGCTCCATCTTTCCAGTTCATGGGAAACCATTTGCAGCCAACCTTCAGGATGAAACCACATTCCTGTTCCAAGGTTGCAATCACTGCAGAGTGTCATGAGGCAAAAGCCACAGCTCCTGAGTAACCACCTTGTCGAGCGCCAGGGCTGAAGCTCACGGCAAGCACTGGCACAGGGCAGAGATGAGGAGGAGGAGGAAGAGAAGGAGGAAGAGCAGGAGGAGGTGACTTCTTGCAGATTGATCCCTAACCTGAGGATTTGCTCACTCAGGGATGTGGAAGGCAGAGCTGTCCAAGGAAATGTGAAGGATTTATTGTTACTGGCTGCTGAGCAAATGAGCGGGTGACTCATCAGCCTTTGCCACATGCTGCTTTTACAATTGGTCTGTTGGAGTTCCAGACAACGGGGCTTTTGTCAGCTAAAAAGGGAAATGAGCTCAGTTACTCTGGGTAAATCCAGAGCAATTTGTTTGTAGACTGAGGACTTAAAGCCTCAGTGACGGTGATCACTTCTGAGACAGTCAAATTGCCTCTTGATGTTCCTTCCTCCCTTTGGCTTAAGAACATCCTGATGACCAAGGTCTTTTGGCTTTTCCAGTTTAATTAGATCTGGGGCATCTTTTTGATGGATAATCCCTGTTCCCTGCTTGTCCCTCTCCTAATGAGCCCCAAGAAAGATAAGCCAATTTACTCTCCCTTTCCTCAGGGCCCTTTTGATGCTCACACAGGAGTTTGCATCATCTGATCTCTTGTGCAAAGGATCCCAGAATGCTGTGACGTGAAGGAGTCACACCACTGATGGTTCCCCTGAACATCAGTTTTATGTGCTGGACTTGCAGCTTGTGCCTCCAACAGGAAATGCCAGAGCTGGGAAGCAGATGTGTTCACGAGATACTACTGAAAAGTTAAACAGGAATTGACAGGAATCTGCTGTTGGAGATGGACATTTTCAATGTTTTATGGACCGTGAGGTGATTTTTGCAGAGTAAGGTGTCATCTCACCTGCCTCCCAAAGGGAATTAGATGAAGGAAACCCAAAAGTACAATTTTTATCTCTTCTGAGGCCCACAGTTCTGCAGTTGCTCGCAGCACAGCAACACAACATACAAACATGATGTTAAAATGTGTTTAATCCCCAGAGGTCTGATCTGAGCAGGTAGCGTGGCCAGGGCTGGTCACATGCACTTCCCACCAGGAAGACGGAGGCCCCAGGAGCTGCACTTTGTGCCCTCTGACCTACAGCCTGTCACTGTGCCCAGGCAAAGGCCACCCCATCCTTCCACTCCAGGCTCTGGTTTATGTCCAGGCTTTATCCTCCGGAGAGGACTCAGGGTGCTGCTGTTTGCCCCTCTGGGCGCAACAACTCGCTCTTGGATTATTATCCATCTCAGCCGCACCGTGCAGCGGCTCCGCTTAGGCTTGCGGGAGGGCAAATAGCGAGCGCGGAAAGCCAAGGATGGGGGACGGAAACACCTCTCCAGGGAGCGCGACTGAGCCCCGCTCCCAATCCCGCTCCCAATCCCGCTCCCAATCCCGCTCCCAATCCCGCTCCCAATCCCGCTCCCGCCCCAGTTCAGCCCCGCAGCGGGGTCGGGCCCAGGGGCCGCCAGGGGGCGCCGCAGGGCTCGTTACCACCCACCCCCTGCAGTGACGCGCCGCTCCCGCCGCCCCTCATTGGTCCCCCACCGCCTCTCTCGGGCGGCTCCTCCCCCTCCCCCATCGCTGATTGGCGGTCGCCGGGGCAGGTCCCGCCCCCCCGGCTGGCTCCGCCCCCCCGGCGGGTCCCGGAGCGGCGCGGCGGGACCGGGGCGCGCGCGGGGCCATGGCCGCGGGGAGCGGGGCGCGGGGGCCCGGCCGGGCGATGCCGCGGCTGCTGCCGCTCCTCTGCGCGCTGCTGCTGCTGCCGCTGCCGAGCCCGGCCCGCGCCCGCCACATCAAGAAAGCGGAGGCGGCGGCGGCGGCGGAGCCCGGCGAGGCGCTGCGCTACCTGCACTCGGCCGAGCTGGGCGAGGCGCTGCGGGCTCTGGCGGACGCGGCCCCGCCGGGCCTGGCGCGGCTCTTCAGCATCGGGCAGTCGGTGGAGAAGCGGCCGCTGTGGGTGCTGCGGCTCACGGCCGGGCTGGGCCCCGAGCGGCCCGGCGAGCCGGCCGGCGGCGCGGCTCTGCCCGGGCGGCCGCAGGTGAAGCTGGTGGGGAACATGCACGGAGACGAGCCGCTGGCGCGGCCGCTGCTGCTGCGCCTGGCGCGGGAGCTGGTGCGGGGCTGGGCCGGCGGCGACGCGCGCATCGTCCGCCTGCTCAACACCACCGACCTGTACCTGCTGCCCAGCCTCAACCCCGACGGCTTCGAGCGCGCCCGCGAGGGCGACTGCGGCGGCGGCGGCGGCGGGGAGGGCGGGCGGGAGAACAGCCGCGGCCGCGACCTCAACCGCAGCTTCCCTGACCAGTTCGGCGCCGCCGAGCCCGACCTGGAGCCCGTGCCCGAGGTGCAAGCGCTCATCGACTGGATGCGCCGCAACAAGTGAGTGCAGCGCGGTCCCCCCCTCGCTCGACGCCCCGCACCTCGGCACCGCTTCCCCAGAGGTGTCAGCCGGGTCCAGCCTCCCCGGTGCTTCCCAGGAGGGCCTGGGGGGAAGGAAAAGCTCGTTCTCCACCTGTTTTTCCCCAGCCTGCCTCCACGCGTGGGCCTTTCATCGTAGCCGGTACCGTCCTGCGCTGGGCTGGCCCTGGGGAGAGCATTTGGTGGCCCCAGTTTGTGTGCGCTTGCAAAGAAGCTGCACCAGCCCCGCAGGGCATAGCCTGTGCCCTGCACACGCCCGGGTGTTCCCGGCCTCCATGGCCATCTGCGCGTGTCCCACCTCCCGGAGATTGTGGCTGGAAACTTCCCTCCCGCCTCGCCTTGAGCTTGTCGGTGTGTCGTGCTCTTGGGGCTGACAGTGCTTTCACTATGAACTGTGGGATGCTGGAAATGTCCAGGGTTAAGTGAGCAGCTAGTCTGTGTGCGACCACGTTAACAGAATTGCACTGAACTGGGCTTTTTCCCTCTATCTTTGTGTTTCATGGATAATTCCTTGGATTTAGCAATAATGCTCTGTGCAGCAGCGTTTCCAAATACAGGCCCTACTCTCACAGTCCTCTTCCCCGTCTGTCCTGTGGAAGCACACAGGGCTGAGCTGTTTGGCTCTCTCCTTCCAAGGAGGGGAGCAGTGGGAAGCTGCTGTACTTGGAATGGGGCAGCCCAGGAGAGGAGATGGCACTTTTGAAGCCCAGCCCTGGTTTGAGGGTCTGGGGCAGCCCTGGAAAGCTCAGTGGCCGGGCTAGGCTTTTCATTTGCCATGTGTTCTACTTCGGAGAACTGTGGAAGGTCCAAACCACAAAGGTCAGTGCAACCAACCGTGGGAAGTTGTGCAGAGAAAGCAGGAATGCGAAGTGTGATCGAATACAGGCAACACACTTGAACAAATTATGGCCCTCTTCCCAAAACAGGGATAGAGAGAGATGGAGAGGGGGTGGCTGATGGCCACAGTGTGCTGTTGGTTGACTCCAACCAACAGACACAACGTTCAGCGTTGTATAATGTTTCCTCAGCTTTAGGAAACAAAATTTGCTTGAACTCTATTAAATCTTGGTGGATTTATTAAGTATCTTTATTAAACCTTGATGGATGGCAGTGTCCATGGGGATGCTGCTCCAGAGAAATTTAATGAACTTCACCAGAATTGCTTGTCCAAAGGATCCTTTAGGAAAGCTCTGATGCAGCACTTTTCACTAAAATCTCCCCAGATTTGGTTCAGCTCAGAATGAGTTACTAGGGAAACTTGTGCATTCTTGATATCGTTTTGAAAACACCTTGAGCTTTTTATTTTATTTTATTTTTTCTGTGAGTATTTGAGGTGGGATTTGCTGTCAGCCAGGGTGAAACAGGAAAAACACGGTGCTTTGTGCATCCCTCTGCCTGGCAGCACCAGTTAATAGTGGTGTGATTGTTAGACTAACATAACTGCTGATAGAAAAATGAATGGGTAAACAGAACTGTTTGATTAAAAACGGAGATAGTGGGTGTAATGCAATTCATGGGCACTATTTTAAGCAGGGTAAAAGTATTGGTCACGTTACCTTTGCTTGGAAACCAAATCCCATTTGACTGAGTGCACAGGAGAGCTCTTTTTCCCTCAACGCTGTGTTTGGTGGGAAGAGGAAGAGCAGGGACAATTACCTTTGGTATTCATTGAAATGCTCGTGCTGCCTGTGATCAAACTGAAGGGTGATATAGGGCCTGTGTTTTTTGAGTTGAGATTTTAAGAGCTCTGTCTCACATCCAGATTTTATTTGAGTGAGTTGGTTCTGTTGTACCTACCAGGAGTTGCTCAGAGCTTGACGAAGAGCCGTGTACATCGGTTCACGTGCAGGGCACTGCTTGTCTGTCACAAAGTTTGAGGGCTGGGTCTTAGGCTGCAGCAAGGAACTTGTTCCATCTGCAGTAATGCCAGATGTCAGTTTGGGGAGCCAATCAACCAGTCCTGAGAGTTGGTTATTGCAGAAAATCTGGAGATTTCTCCACTGTGCTCCCACTGGGACGCTGTTCAGACCCTCTGATGATCCTGCTCGCTGTGTTGGAGGCTGGGATACGTCTCCCAGGATGGTGTGTCGTGTCCAGCAGTAGCTGACTGGGTGTTGAACGAGTGCCTGTCTGTTAACATAACCTTGGTGTAACTGCAGCTCCACAGGTGTTCTCTCTGCACAGGGCTGGTGGAGCAGGGTCCGATCGCTTCCACTTCCAAAGTGCCCAACTTACTGCTGGGCACCTCATCCAATGAGTGCATTTTGCCTCATTGA